CCCCAAAACCCCAAAACCCCATGATTTAATGGTCAGATGGGATCTTAGATAAAATTATATCTTTAATATTTTTAATTATAATTTAAATCAATTCTAAATTAATGGGAGCATATTTAACTGTACCAAAAAGAGAAAAATTGTCTGAAGATGGAGAGAATTCTAAGGTATGATTTTAGCAATAAGAAAAAAATATCTGATTTCATTTTTATGAGGCATTAATCTTTTTTTAGTTAAGATACGGAGCAACTAGCATGCAAGGTTGGAGAACAACAATGGAGGATTCCCATATTGCAATCTTAGATCTTGGAAATGGCGTCTCATTCTTTGGAGTCTATGATGGACATGGGGGTAACATATACTTTTTTACTATATATTTTTCAGGAAATGAAGTAGCAGACTTTGTTAGAGATCACTTAGTAGAGGAGCTCAAAAAGTTAACAAGCTTTAAGCAAGGTGACTATGAGTAGTGCTTAAAAGATATTTATTTGAAGATTGACGAAATGATTTAAACTCCTGCAGGAAAATCTAAATTATATACTTATTAGAAAAATGCTGATAAAACAGCTGGTCTATTTGGAAGTCAAAGTGATGATATTGGACATGCAGCTGGGTGTACAGCATGCTCTGCCATAATTACTCCTACAGAGATTATTATTGGAAATGCAGGTGATTCAAGAAGTGTCTTAGCTGTAAAAAAAGGTGATAAAAATTTAGCAATTGATATGAGTGTTGATCATAAGCCAGATTTACCAGAAGAGAAGTTAAGAATAGAAAAAGCAGGTGGATTTGTTGAAGATAATCGAGTTAAAGGAGTGCTGAACTTATCAAGATCACTAGGTGATTTAGAATATAAATCAGATCCATCATTAGCCTTAAAAGATTAAATGATAACAGCAATGCCAGAAATTAGGAAGCAAAAAATTGTCCAAAATGAAACAAATTTTTTGATAATTGCTTGCGATGGTATATGGGATTGTCTGTCTTCTTAAGGAGCAGTTGACTCTATAGCTTAATTGATATAAAAGAAAGCAAAATTATCCAGTGTGGTTGAAGACATATTTGATAGTATCATTGCAACTGATGTTGCAAGTTCAGGAGGAATAGGCTGCGACAACATGACTTGCGTCATTATTCAGTTTAAATATTGATATAAAAAGATTAAAAGAAGCTATTTGATCATTAGGACTATGCTATTACGGATTATGTAGTATAATCTTCAAGATTCAGAGAACTTCTACATCTTTATTTTATATCTTAATCTGGATTTACCATAAAAATTACAGATCTTTATTCATGGGGTTTTGGGGTTTTGGGGTTTTGGGG